TCTCAAAAAAAAAAAAAAAAAAGGAGTAGCAATAATATTAATAGTTAACGTTTAGTGCTTAGTACATCAATAATAATAGTTAACATTTAGTGTAGTCATTATTCTAAGTGGATAAAACTAATTTAAATCCCACAATCACCATGATTTAGGTACAATTAAGAACCTCCCATTTTACAGATGAGGAGAATGAGGCAGAGAAGAATTAGAGAATTTACCAAAGATTGCACGGCCTACAGTGGTGGGCCTGGGATGTGAGGGATGGGAGAAAGCTTTCTCCTTAAGACTGGAACTACCTTGGAAAGAGACAAACATGGCCTTCCTGGCATTCTCAGCCTCCCATCAATAAGGTCATTGCCTGTCCCACCAATTCCAAGGATGGAATGTTGAATAGGTTCCCTGAAAGCTACTTTTAGTTTGCTGAACAAACAAACAACAAAAAAATGTACTACCACCAAGTGGTCCTAAAACCAACAGACTCCTGAGTCCTTGAGGCTACTATCCAACACAGCAGACCCCCTGAAAGAATCCCAGTTCAAAATGGCCCTCATCTCCCATGTGTGCTCCTTGATATCCAATCAAAAGTCACCAAACCCAGCCAGTGCTTCTTTAGAAATGAACCCGTCTTTTCTATAGTCCCACTGTCACCATTCTGGACCAGGGCCTCACCATCTATGTCTAGATCACTAGTGATCTGTTAAATCAGCGGGCTTCCTAGATCTCAGTCTCCTTCTTCTTCAGTCTGGGTACCACTGCTCGTTATGCTGTAACATACCAAGTCCAAATTCCCCTAAATAATCAAGCCCTGCTATACAGAGACAACTTCATTTCCTATTCTTTCCTAACACAAACACATCCCTTCTCTTTAGTCAGATAGGTCTCTTCAGTGTTCCTCACTTACATCACATTTGTTTGTACCTCTTTTTGCTCAAGTTGTTTCTCTAACTGGAATCCCTCAACTTTCCTTTATTGGTCCTTTTAGGTTTAGTCCAAGCTTTCAGCAAGTCCTCCCTGATTTCTCTTGCCTATAACATTTCCTTTTCTTATCCCTATTTCTTATTTCCCCTGAATTCTTATTAGAAATAATAATGGCTAAAATCTGTTGAGTACATACTATGTGTCTAGGACTAGTGTGCCTATGTATCTTACTGGATTCTCACAAAAACCCTACATACCTATCCTCCATTTTACAAATAAGGAAGAGACTGGACCTAGATCACAATGAGTGGCTGGGTTGGGGACTGATCTAATAGTCTCCCTCCACAACCTACACTAGCAACAATACTCTGCATTGCCTACCTATCTTGGTCCAAGTCCCCACTTAATCAATATCTTCTATGAGTATCCAATTATTTCATGCATACTATTTTAAAGAGCGAGTCACCTTTTTAAAATTGTTTCTCTATGATGCTTTTCCCACTGCTTAACATTAGTCCTACGAAATTTATTTGCTTTCTAACTTAAAGATGGAGGCAATTCTACTATCCTCTGCATACTTCAGACCTTGGGTGAAGATGGACAAAAGGCATCAGTGTTTTCAATGCTCTTGCCTCTACTAATAAGAACCCTACTGGCTCTTTCTCATGGTGTCCTTTTGGTCTTGCTTCTCTATGAGGCATGATCCCTTAATTTTTGTCATAGTTAGAATCCTTGGGGAGAAAATTGCAAACTGCTGGCCAAAGAAAAAGTCATTGTGAAAGCTTATTGTTAAATCCACAGCATCCCACAGATCTAAGATTTGGAAGTATACAGTGCCTGTCACTTGTAGAACACAGCAAACCTGACCATAGGACATTTTGGAGTTTCAAACAGGACATGTAAAATTCTAGAAAACTGAGTTTAAACTTTCAGGGAGAACGAAGGAAGGGATAACAGAGTTAATAAAAAGTAGGCCTCCGATTGGACCAGGGTGTAATATCAGTTGCCCAAAGTACCTAAAATGACTACTTATGTGGAAACTGAGGGCTGATGTTATACCCAAAAGACAGTACCTTGAGCGGTCCAAGCCTGAGCCTGTGGTTCAGCATGAACTCATAACAAGGAGGCCTATGTCATGAATCATTTCATAGCTACTGCCTTAACGTTTACATTTTTTCCTAGAAGTCTCAGTGGCAACGAAACCTGATTAACTCTGGTTCTTTTGAGCTCACAAACAATAAGATTAAAGCCCAAGGAGACAGGTTTACAATTTAATTAAAAAAAGAAAAACAAACCAAAAAACAAACATATTTACCCTGTCTCTACAAAAAATAGAAAAATTGGCCAGGCGTGGTGGCACATGCCTGTAGTCTCAGCTACTCAGGAGGCTGAGGCAGAAGGACTGCTTGAGTCCCGGAGTTTGAGGTTGCTGTGAGCTATGATCATGCCACAGCATTCTAGCCAGGGTAACAGAGCAAGACACTGTCTAAAACAAACAAACCAAAACAACAACAACAAAAATCCCAATTTAATGGCTATTTATCCTTTAAATGGATTAAAAGAAGTGGGGAATTTGGGAGGAAAAGAGAATAAAATAGGATTCTATTTAGAAAAATAATTACACAGGAAAAAAATGAAATACATATAACATAATAGGATAAAAAACAAGAGAGAACTAAAGGTTAAGAACAAGAGTAAGAAAACTAAAAAACCAAGACAGATGGTATGGTTATCAACCTATTTGACAACCAAACACTAAATCCACCACAACGTGACCCAGGAGGAGGACTGGGGAAAACAATACTTCACAGTGGGTTAGAGATGACACCTATATTTAGCAATCAGGTCTATGGAGCTCAGTGAGACATCCTAGAGAAAAACAACTACAAGTAAAGGACTAGAACAACTGATTTAACTAGGAAAGATTAAAGCAAGTAAATCCGCAAAGCGTGGCCCAGCAATGACTAAGGGGCAATATATTAACAGTCAGCACCTTCATGCAGCTATAAACACCAAGCTGGGCGTGCATAGGGGCGGGAGGTGAGAGTGGAGATGGGTGGAGTGGAGTGGAGGTGACCTGGCTATATAGGTCAATGAGGAAGAGTTTCGGGGGACAAGCGAATGAAATGGAAAACAGGAAAATTTCTAGAGGAACAACCGGAAAAAGTTGGACCAACACTGGAGGGTGGAGCCTTTTTCTCCCAGGAGAATGGGGGGAAGTTCAGTCCCTTAGGGGGAGGGGGAGACTAAAAGTTGACCCATGGGACAAAGGACTTCTCACATTGCTACTAAGGGACAAAAGTTCCTTCCTCATTCTCTTTACATGTAACCATATAAAACAGGTCTGACACAGAAACAAAAACAAACGGGGTAGGTTATAACAACCCCTCACTAAACAGAGTCAAATGCAAAGATAACCCTACTTCAGGAAGAATACACAAACAAAAATCAACACAGACAGTAAGGGGCAGCTGCCATTCATCATCTGCTGAAATCATGTTTTACTAACAGAGTGGGCCAGACAGGCTGCCACTGTTTACAAATACATGTTTACACATGTATTCTCAATCACAAGACATTAAGTTGTCTCTGACATTTTTAGGTTGACCAACCTCTTCCTTGTCCATAAATGGTTCTGGGGATCTCCCAAAACTAAATAAATCTCAGGGCAAAGGAAAAAAATGCCAGACAAATCGCTACACCTATTGTTTCTCTAACACATACACATGCGCCCACACCCATAACTTGAGTTTATACAAAGCATAAACTAGGAATTAATTTCAATCTTGCTGTCCTATTTTTGTAAGGAATATTCTAGGAGCTTCTAATTTATAACTGATCCATAGGCCCTTCCTCCTGGCAAAATTAAAGTGTAAATTATTTTAGAATTCAGAGCTTCTCTACAGAAAAAAGAATTCCTACTTTTATTCCTCTAGCTATGGGTTAGGGGCCTAGGCCTACTTTGAGGCTTTGTGTCTGGCAGGAACTCCTTACCTCACAGGGCGAACCATGTGAACCACGTAAACATGATGCCGATCTCCTCCTTCAAATGCGCTTATGTTTTTGACCATTCAAATGAACAACTAGAGAAAATATTCCTTAAGAAACCATAGACCAAACCTGAGATAGGCATTTTAATATAATGAACTGATGCCAGATCTCCCCAGGTGACCTCATCTAGTCTGATGGTCTTAAATAGCTTCTACAACCTGATGATTCCAAAATACATCGTTGGCCCTAATCTTCCTCCTGAACTTCAGACCCTGCTGCCTGGGTAACATTGCCACTTAATGTCTGATACTCCTAACTGATCTTTCTGCTTCTACTTTTCTCTCTATAGTGTTTCGTTTTCCTCTATTTCCAAACAGAAGCCAGAGGGATGCATTTAAAACCCAAGCCAGATTAACCCAGCGTGGTGGCGTGCACCTGTAGTCCTACTTACTAGGGACTGAGGCAGGAGGATCGTTTGAGCCCAGGAGTCTGAGGTGCAGTACTGCACTCCGGCCTAGGCAACATATCGAGAGACCCTGTCTCAAAAACAAAACAAAAACAAACAAAAAAACCAATCCAGATCATGTTACTCCTCTGCTGAAACTCTTCCAGTTGGACTGCCATCTCAAAGTCCTTACCATGGCCTACTAGGATCCTACACAATCTGCTTCTGCAACACCCAGCTCATAACACTCTCCCCCTCATTGATTCTGTTCCACCTACTCTGGGCTCCTTGCTGTTGCTTGATTATGCCAAGCATGTTCTCACCTCAGGGCTTTGCACTTATCTCCTCTGCCTGGAATGCTCTTCTTTCTGCCAGATACATGCTTGGCTTGCTTCCTAACTTTCTTCAGATATTGGTGCAGATGTCACCTTATCACAGAAACTTTACCAACTCATCTAAAACAGCACGCCCTGATTGCTCCATCACTCCTTACCTGCTATATTTTTCTTCATAGTATTCATATTATTTTTTTCCATTTGTTTATGCTGTCTCCCTCCCACTTCCCACTAGAAATGTAATTTCTAGTAACTACGAATGAGGACAGAAATGGAACTTTGTTTCACTGCATGCCGAATTCGTAGAGCCTAAAACAATGCTGCGCCCTTAGTGGATACTCGTTAAATGTTTGCTGAATGAATGAATGAACAAATTACCAAACTATTCAAGGCACCAGAAATATAGACTTATGATACTTCCTTCCATTGATGAGCTCAAAGTCTAGTATGTAATATAATTACTTACAATACAATATGAATAATTTGAGTACAGGGAGGGGCCTAGGAAGGAATGTCGACACCAGAATGGCATTATAAAAAGCAAACAGAAGCTTACTATGTGGACGAGAAGGCTCACAGGAGGACAATCTAGGCTGAAGGAACAGTTTATGCAACAGTGTGATATGGCATGGTGTATTCAGGAAACTACAAGTCAATCATTATTTCTGGAACAAATATTTTAGAAGGCAAAGTGGCATGGCAATTAGGCTGGAAAGGCCAGAAGTGAAAAGCCTTGTATGCCATGCAAAGCTTACACTTTATTCCATAAATGATGGAGAATCTCTGAAGAGTTTAAGCAAAGAAGGAGAGTATAAACAAACTAATGGAGTAGCAGCATAGCAAAGAATGCATTTGCATTAACAGTATAGAGCTGGGAACTGAGACCGGGGCCCAAAATATCAGCTAAGAGAAAGTGATGAATCTTGTACTCACATGGAGAGTATGACTATGCTGGAACTGTATGAAATGCTTAAAAAACAGAGCAAGAACCAAGAACAAGGAGAAAGGCAAGTTTCTCCTATCTGATATGGCATCAAGTGAACCACTACATCAGAGAACCCACAGGAACACCACCTACCACCATGTGACAGCCTTCCCATAAGATGACAGAGGCCGATGATGTGCTTCTATCTACCCAGCTATGTCTCCAGCAAATCTCAGGCCCTGAAGCCCTGCCCCCATCTGATTAACTGACTGAAGAGGTTTGGATGCCAAGAAAGGCACAGCTGAGTCCTATGACTGATATTACAGAATCTATAGTCCCAGATAAATAATATTACAGAATCTGTTTTTCATTCTTGAAGGCAGGCAGTATTCTATGGTATAGTAAAGAGAAAGAGTCAACGTATCATAGGAGTGGATCCTGGGAAACAAGGGCTGTGGTTTCAGCTTTGCTGCTGTGAGTCTATTCAAGTCTCCACAACTCTGTATCTCATTTCTCCACAGCCCTCCTGAGTTAGGATCTTCCTCATACTGGTGAGGATTTCGATGCTCCGTGTTTCACAGAGAGGTATCACAACACTCACACTGAATGCCATTTTTAGAGGCATGTCTTTTATAAAACAATTTCTCATTTATGCATTTTTAAATCTCAAGGTTCTGCAACTGTTATTAAACGTATTTGAACACTTGAGCCCAGGAGTTTGAGGCTGTAGTGAGCTATGGTCATGCCACTGCACTTCAGACTGGGTGACAAAGTAAGACCAGTCTCTCTAAACTAAATAAATAAATAAAAAATAAATTAACTAACTAAATAAATTTGAATCCTGGGAATAATTCTGAGATTCAAAAGCAATATTCTTTTCTTCTCCCTTTCATACACTGAAGCATTCCTATAAGGAGATTGGGTATAAAAGGATAGATAATTTGCTAAAATAAAATGTCTTTCTTATCTTTGAAATTATCAATTTTGTTGCTCTCTAATCACCTTTTCAAGTTTAGGATACAAAAAACATGAATTTTTCCAGTAATGGAATAATGCATAAGAGTAACAAAACAATCTTTTCTGATTTGTTCAATTACATCAATAGCTCCTAAAACAAATCTGATTGGACTGATTTTTTTTTCCAGTCTGTTTTCACTGATGTATCCCAAGTATAAGGCATATACGAGGCATTCATGAATATTTTGAATATGTAAAAAACTATTCAAAGAAAATGGATCAGAAAGTCTCAAAGGAAAGCTAAAATGCTCCAGTTCCAGTGAAAGCGCACAACTACAGTGTTTTTTTTTTTTAAAGAGACAGGGTCTTGGCCGGGCATGGTGGCTCATGCCTGTAATCCTAGCTCTCCGGGAGGCCGAGGCGGGCGGATTATTTGAGCTCAGGAGTTCGAAACCAGTCTGAGCAAGAGCGAGACCCCGTCTCTACTAAAATTAGAAAGAAATTAATTGGACAACTAAAAACATATAGAAAAAATTAGCCGGGCATGGTGGCGCATGCCTGTAGTCCCAGCTACTCGGGAGGCTGAGGCAGGAGGATCGCCTGAGCCCAGGAGTTTGAGGTTGCTGTGAGCTAGGATGATGCCATGGCACTCTAGCCTGGGCAACACAGTGAGATTCTGTCTCAAAAAAAAAAAAAAAAAGAGACAGGGTCTTGCTCTGTTGCCCAGGCTAGTGTACAGTGGTGCAATCACAGCTCACTGCAACCTTGAACTCCTGGGCTCAAGTGATCCTCCTGCCTCAGCCTCCTGAGTAGCTGGGACTACAGATTCTGTCTCAAAAAAAAAAAAAAAAGAGACAGGGTCTTGCTCTGTTGCCCAGGCTAGTGTACAGTGGTGCAATCACAGCTCACTGCAACCTTGAACTCCTGGGCTCAAGTGATCCTCCTGCCTCAGCCTCCTGAGTAGCTGGGACTACAGGTGTGTGCTACCATGTCCAGCTAGTTTTTTTATATTGTTTGTAGAGATGGGGCCTCGCTCTGCTGCCCAGGATGGTCTCAAACTCCTGGCCTCAAACAACCCTCCTGTTTCAGCTTCCTAAAGTGTTGGGAATACAGGCGTGAGCCACCAGGCCTGGTGCAACTATAGTTTTTTAACACAACAAAAGGCAAAGAAATAGAAATAAAAAGTATGTGACAACAAAGCAAAGGGTAAAACAAACTGAATGACATTTACAGTAGAAAATTTGTACCTCCACTGTACAGTGGTTTCATTACTTACTGTATCTGCAGCAGTGAGATTGATACCCAGTCCTCCAGCTCGTGTGCTTAATAGGAACACAAAGATGTCATTCCTGCAGAAAAGGGAGGGATATGTTAAGAGGAAAAACTGAAAAGGAAAAATGGCATGTAGCAAAAGACAGAGATCTATGAATACATAACATAGAATCTAGGACACTGTATACAAAGCTGCTCTGTTGCTAAAATCAAATGATGGATGTCATCTTCTAATTTCCAGATAAACTTTTGCTGCCCACTAATGTCTGACTGCTAGATAATACAAATATAAACATGTAGTAAACATAACAGAAAAATGTTACCACAGAAATACAGAACTCTCTCTATCCAATAGTCATATTTTTAATAAGTCAAACCATTCTTAATTCATACAGAGGGCCAAATGAAACAGTATTCCTAGTTTCCCCCAAGAATCATGACTTCCAATAGCTTGGGAACTAATGACTACTATTTCATTTTTTTTTTTGAGACAGAGTCTCACTCTGTCACCCAGGCTATAGTGCTGTGGCATCAGCCTAGTTCACAGCAACCTCAAACTCCTGGGATCAAGTGATCCTCCTGCCTCAGCCTCCCGAGTAGCTGGGACTGCAGGCACGCACCACCACACTGGGGTAATTTTTTTACTGTTTTTAGTAGAGATGGGTTCTCACTCACTTAGGCTGGTCTCAAATCTCTGAGCTCAAGTGATCCTCCTGCCTCGGCCTCCCAAAGTGCTAGGATTACAGGTGGAGCCGCTGCGTCCAGCCTAATGACTACTATTCCAAAGCTCTAGTTTTAAGATTAAGAAAATCTTGAGTCCCATAAAAATGACCTGAAGTCAAGACTAAGACCCAGGTCGTCACTTTTTTTTTTTGTTGTGCTTGATGGTAGCTCATAGCAACCTCAAACTCCTGGTCTCAAGTGATCCTCCTGCCTCAGCCTCCCAAGTAGCTGGGACTACAGGCATGTGCAATCATGCCTGGCTAATTCTTCTAGTTTTTTGTACAGACAGGGTCTCACTTTTGTTCCAGCTGTTCTTGAACTCCTGGCTTCAAGCAATCCTCCTGCCTCAGCCTCCCAAAGTGCTAGGATTAATAGGCGTGAGCCACTGTGCCCGGCCCCAGGCCATGACTTTTCCATACTAAATTAAATTTTGGATCAATACATGAAGATAGGCTAAAGTACTTTGGGATGAATGCCAACACTGCCCTTACACAGAAACAATTAGATATAGTTTTCTCAGTTTCCTTCTACATCCCACATCCTTGTTAAGCTGCTAACCCCTTTTCTTCATGTCTATAGTGATGAATATAAATGGAAATTCATTTAGATCAGTGTTATTTAAATTGCAGTTCACACCTATCATGAAATCAGTTTGGAGGACCTGGACTGTATTAAAGCAATAAATTAATAAAGGGAAAAAAAGATTAGAAAATATTCGAATGCATCACAGGTCATAAAGGTAAGTGCTGTTTTGTCAAGTTTCAGATATGGTATAGAGGTACTAAATCACAATGTAAAATGATTTTATTCTGTGAGATCTAGTGAAAAAAAAAAAGAAACATACTGACATCAGGATGCTCCTATCCCTTCAGGCTATTCTTCCTTGGTAAAGTCACTTGACTGTTGAAAGCCTATTTCCTGGACTATAAAATGAAGATACTCTGAATATAGTTGAAGTGACTAACTGATGACAGACATATCAATGTCAAACATGAGTATCAGTGAAGGAACTATTTTGAGATAAGCATCCTGGTTAATCACTAAGCTGGGTAGATTTTAGTAGAAATCTGCTCATTATTTTTATTCAATTAAACACAACTTTCCTAGAGGCAGGCATGGATAACAGAACATGTCTGCAGCCTCTCTTACTTCATGATTCCAAAAGCTTTGTATTCCCAGGAAAAGTTCTACTAGTCTACCCTTAAATTTTATCATGAAGTTTAACATTTCATAATTTTACTTATTTGATTTATAAGATGTCATCTTTTATGATTAAACCATACAGTGCAAACCAAAAAGTTGAAGGGTGCCAAACACATTTTGATTTAAATGGAAGCATGGTACTTCACAGGCCCACAGAAGAATATTTAACCACAAGAAGTCTTCGAATGAAAACTGATTGAATTTCTTTGTTTTCTGTTTTTGGTAGAGAGAGTGGGTCTCACTCTTGTTCAGGCTAATCTTGAACTCCTGGCCTCAATGGATCCTCCCACCTTGGCCTCCCAAAGTGCTATGATTGTAAATGTGAGCTACCACAGCAGGCCCTGATTGAACTTTCTGGGCTGTACTAGTCTCTAAAGAATAATCAATCCTTCCCACCGTGGCATTGAGAAGATTGCTTTTGTTCCATATATCTTCCTTCCTGCTTTGGTAGGTACAGAGGCAGGGGGTCAGAAGCTGCTCCTGTGGTACCTGTGTGAGAGCTGATGGAGCCACTCAATGGCTGGGGTTTTTTTGGTAATTCCTGAAGGAGACCAGAATCTGAGCATGGGGTAGGGGTAGGAGACAGTGAGGGAGGTAGAAGGCAGTTAAAAAATACAACAAAAGAAAGGACAGAAGCAGAAAGATGGGTCATTTCCACAGTTTGGACAGCCAGAGAGCTGAGTGTCCAGATGTGGTAATCACTTTTGAATAGGGACTACATACAGAACAATACTAGTGAAAGAAATGTAGGCAAAAATAAGTTAGTAGAAAAACTTAGGAATATAATGGCTTCTTCTGGCTATCAATTACGTATTAAGAAAATACCTTCTGATGATGAAGTAGATGGTACGTAGCAAGGTTTGGCTACATTCAATGTAATTTTATCATATTATCATGGAAAGAACAGATTATAGAAATCTTGCATTGTTACAATCAAAAAAATTAGTTCACATCCTAGATTATACTGCTGGATTATTTATAAACAAAAACATCTAAATCAAACTGCTGACAAGTTCCTTTCTACTTAATAAATCTAGTATTGAGGCCAGGCATGGGGCTCATGCGTGTAATCCTAGCACTCTGAGAGGCCGAGGCGGGAGGATTACTTGAGCTCAGGAGTTCAAGACCAGCCTGAGCAAGAGCGAGACCCCCGTCTCTACTAAAAACAGAAAGAAATTAATTGGACAGCTAAAAATATATAGAAAAAATTAGCCGGGCATGGTGGCGCATGCCTGTAGTCCCAGCTACTCGGGAGGCTGAGGCAGGAGGATAGCCTGAGCCCAGGAGTTTGAGGTTGCTGTGAGCTAGGCTGACGCCACGGCACTCTAGCCCGGGCAACACAGTGAGACTCTGTCTCAAAAAAAAAAAAAAAAAAATCTAGTATCAGGCTGGGCACAGTGGCTCATGCCTGTAATCCCAGCTCTTTGGGAGGTTCAGGTGGGAGGATCGCTGAAGCCCAGGAACTTGAGACCAGCCTGGGCAACAAAGTGAGACACCCACCTCTACCAAAAAAAAAATTAGTCAGACATGGTGGCACATACCTGTAGTCCCAGCTACTTGGGAGGCTCAGGTAGGAGGACTACTTGAGCCCAGGAGTTCGAGGTTACAGTGAGCTATGATCAAGCCACTGTATGCAGCAGCCTAGCTACAGAGAGAAACCTTGTCTCTAAATAAAATAAAATAAAATAAAATAAAATAATCTAGTGTTCATAATGTGGATTAATGTTTTAGGGGTTTTGACTAAACAGAAGAAAAAACACCAGAAGGCTGGGAAGGGAGTGGAGGGGATGGGTAAATTCACACCTAATGGGTGCGGTGTGCACTGTGTGGGCGATGGGCACATGTATAGCTCTGATTCAGGTGGTGCAAAGACAATATATGTAACCTAACCATTTGTAGCCCCATACTATTCTGGAAAAACAAAACAAAAAACAAAACAAACAAACACAAACCCAGAAGGCAAGATGGTGGTTTGGGTGCCCTCTAGGGGGCTGAAAAGGAATCTCAACCTAGAGTTTCTGCTGGAACAGGCCTTAAGAGACCAGGTTCTGGGTAGTCTGCAGAGTGGCCTATGAAACCATATAGCGAAGACATGTGTAGGTCTCACTCTCACTCTTCTTTAATGATCCACTGAGACCTCACCGCACCAAAATACACAAATAGTGCTAGACACATAGCTGATAGCTATAAAGGCTTGTTGAATGACTGAAAAAGAACCATAATTAAAGATGACACTGGAGCTCTATAATACTCTCACCAAGAAAAAAATCCACACTGTAGTCACTTTTTCTCTTGTTTTCCAAAGAGTTACCTGAGTGGTCAGATAATGGGGTGGGGATCCATTTGGTAAAGGTCACGGTGTAGGAGGAAGGGAAGCAAAGGCCAAGGCACCACAGAGCAAAGACCTTGTGAATGGTTTCTAGGATCACGCACTGGTCACATGTTCTGAATGTTGCCCAGTCAGGACATCCTGGCCAAACAGTCTTTAGTCTCAGTTAGACTCTTTCCTGGAAGGATCCCTCATAAATAAATCTTGTACGAAGGGAATGTAAATGGCTTTTTATAGGAGCTCTTGTTTACTCTGGCTGACCTTTGAGCCACAGGGCTTTCCAGTTGAAACTACGATTTTTTCTTTTGATGTCTTTCATTAATAAAATGAAAATATTTGGCAAGGAAGGCTTTTTTGTTTTCAAAAACACCTGTCTTTTTCTCTAGATTGGGCTACTGCAGCCACTCAAATTTTAAGTTGCACTGTACTGTTTTCTCCCCATTTGGAGGGGTCAGCTTGACATGTTTCTGGTCAGCATAGCCACAGTTCATATTTTGTACATGAGAAATAAGCAGATTATTTCTTAGCCATAATTCCAACTCTAAGCATCTAGCTTATAATGTAGGCAGGAATCAGAAAGGAGACTTTAATTTCTTCATTTTGCCTAATGTTAGACAGAAGGCATTAAAACAATGGTTATCCAAATATTAACTAGATATACAGTCACTGCTACCTACGAAATTCTCAGTTGTAGGATGTGGAAGTTCAAGTAAGGTTTCCTAATAAGAGCTGTGCAAAGTAAGATTTTTACTAAGTAGATCTAGTACAATTTAATGGTTAAAATACCACTCTTTCAGAGCTAAGCTTTTCAAAACAATTATGCACTACTGGGATTGCCCGAATGAATCTGCTTCATAAGTTAAAAGAGAGATTTTAGAGGTAATAAGTTAGATCCATCTACTGATTTTTTAAAGTGTAAAATATACTAAGCCCTGGATCTCATAGCCCAGTTTTCTGGGGAATTGGGTCAGCTAGGAGAACAGTTATAGCTCTACAACTCAGAAGCTGAAATCACTAGAAGTCAAAATACTACAGCTGTGGCTGGAATCCACAGCAGTAGAAGTTTTCCACCAAGCAATATGACAATATGCATAGAGTCTTAAATGTTCTCATCACTTTAGCTAGTAATTTTCCTTGTTTGAATCTATGCTAAGAAAGTAATCTAAAATAGTATTAATAACAAAGATTTATACACAAAGATATTCACTCAATATTTTAACAGCAGAAAAGTGGTGGCTGGGCGCGGTGGCTCACGCCTGTAATCCTAGCAATCTGGGAGGCTGAGGCAGGTGGATTGTTTGAGCTCAGGAGTTCAAAACCAGCCTGAGCAAGAGCGAGACCCCGTCTCTACTAAAAAACATAGAAAGAAATTAATTGGACAACTAAAAATATATAGAAAAAATTAGCTGGGCATGGTGTGGCACATGCCTGTAGTCCCAGCTACTCGGGAGGCTGAGGCAGGAGGATCGCTTGAGCCCAGGAGTTTGAGGTTGCTGTGAGCTAGGATGACGCCACGGCACTCTAGCCCGGGCAACACAGTGAGACTCTGTCTCAAAAGAAAAAAAAAGAAAAGTGGTATATATACCCAGTGTAATGGAATTTTGGTCTTAAAAATATGATTGCAAAGACTTTTTTTTTTTTTTTGAGACAGAGTCTCACTCTGTTGCCCTGGCTAGAGTGAGCGCCGTGGCATCAGCCTAGCTCACAGCAACCTCAAACTCCTGGGCTCAAGCGATCCTCCTGCCTCAGCCTCCCGAGTAGCTGGGACTACAGGCATGTGCCACACCATGCCCAGCTAATTTTTTCTATATATTTTTAGTTGTCCAATTAATTTCTTTCTATGTTTTTTAGTAGAGACGGGGTCTCGCTCTTGCTCAGGCTGGTTTTGAACTCCTGAGCTCAAACAATCCACCTGCCTCAGCCTCCCAGAGTGCTAGGATTACAGGCGTGAGCCATCGCACCCGGCCTGCAAAGACTTTTAAATGATATGTGAAAATATCACAATATAATGTGAAGTGGAAGAGATCAGGACACAAAATCCTATTTACAATGTGCTATCAACAGTGTAAATACAACCATATACATACACTTAAGGCTACAGGAATATACTAAAATGTTAACAGTAGTGGGATAGTGGGTGATTTTTATTTTCATCTTTAAATATTTTTCAAATTTTTCTCAGTAGGCATTTCATTGTAATATATATGGACCCCAATTCTTACTGAAAAAAAACCCAAAACATTACCATTAACAAGATCCTCAAATGTACGATATCAAATATACTAGTGGAAAATAATGCAAACAGTACTAGGTGAAATACCTATTACTTAATGGCTCTTGTCGTAACACCCAAGGCATGCCACCCCATACCAATGTGCCTACACCACAGATGCACTGACAATAACTGGAGAAGATACAGGCACTCTGGGAAAATACAGCCTATAGATCTTGCATATAAGATTCTTGTCAATTGGCGTCTTAGGTTGGAGTAGGTAAGGACATGGTAAAATACAACTCACTGATTTCAGAATAAAAAAAAAAGACGAAGATCACCCAATATGCTTTTTTCTCTTTTTACCATAACAATGAGGTGGGTTAAGTGGCACTGCTGTGCTTATTCATGTTTCAAATAATCAATTTTAGGATCTGCGGATAACTTCTGCTAGGTGAGAAGCTAGGTCAGGCTATCCACACAGCTGCTCCAAGGTAGCAAACTGAAACAGGTTCAAAGTAGATCTTCCCTTCCATTGTTGGTCAAACAGCTACTTGCAATTCTGGCATACAGTTTTAACTTAGGAGTTACTGGCCTAATGGGGTATATACTGTAAACAAAAATATCAGGATTTATCTCCTTATCTGTGCTCTATTGTAAAAAATAACATAATAGCAAAAATTCTTAGTCAGAGGGCATTCTTTGTTGAATTATGGATGTGTTTTGTGCTAATTTTACATCGGAATTATGCCATGCTTTAAAACTTAAATGCTTTAAAACAAATTAAAAATTGTAAGATAAATACAAAAGGCTATATGCTTAATTTTCTCTCCAAGAATTCAAAAGTTAAATATTAACAGGCCATAAAATTAAAGGGCAGAAAGTCAAAATTGTTCTGATTTTCAAACATTAAGATCTACTTTATTTCTCAGTTTTCCAGGTCTAAGGAAGAAAATTAAGATGGAGTTCAGCAGACCTGTCAACAGCAGAGCTTGGCTTTCTCCTCAGAGAGAGGAGTAACAAGACTCTGCTTACTACAAAGACAACATGCACTCAGGATAATTATGGCTCTATAAACCATCAGCATTCAGCAGGCGGTATTTGAAATTTCATAGGCTCATTAACAGGTGGGAGAGGTACTGTGGCTGAGAGCTGCCAGCTGAATAGATTGCACACAACTGTAATTTGTCATATTGCACTGTACTGCTACTATGCTAGAAGGAAAAGCAGGAAAAAGGTACTTTTCCTTGAACTTATACAAAATGAAACACAGAAATAAACTAAAAATCAACTCTAGGTCAATACCTAGAAATGGCTATTGTTAAGTTAGGAATATAGCCTTATGGACTTTTTTCTACATATCTATTATCCATTGAGGATGATCCTGGTTCATACTCAGATCCCTCTCTCTCTATCACTCTCAGATACATAGATCTGAATCACTATAAGCAGATTTAGCAATTTAGCAACCTCTTAAAATGGTAGGAATTATATCATGATTATTTAACCACGTGGATGTCTTGGCATTTCTTTTAAACCCACCATTTCAAGCACTACGGAAAAATAAAAATAAGAATTTTTATAATTCCCATTAATGTTACCTGTTCTGAAAATCAGCAACCATGTCCCGCCTCTCTGAGATCTTGGATGAGCCGTCAAGCCTCATGTAGGTGTGCTTCCTATAAACCATATATTCCTGCCAATCAGGGAAAAAGAATATAATAAGTCTGATGCAAATTACTGTATTATAATTCTCATGAACATCTAGCCACCTTCCACCTCATCCATACTAGGGGCAAGGCATTATATCTAGAGTGGGAAGAAAGCAACCTCCAAAGCACAGGAACTTAATTTGTAAATAAGTTTATGGCCAGTGTTTGAAAATTCAGGGCAACCCAAAGATTATCATCACCCTCATTTTCAATTTGAAACCCAATCTTATTCCTGCAGATTTCTGTAGCTTTCATGAAAAAAAAAAAAAGAAAGAAGAAATCTCCAAACCAAAATGTCTTTTCAATCATCAACCAGATGTTTTTCATAGCTATGAAAATATCCAGTTTTTTTTCAGTGAGTAACATTCACTCTAATGTATTTCCCCCCAGCAAATCCTTGCTGACCAAAGTCCTTGAATTTATAGCCTGAGCTTCCTTCTCCCATCAGAGCATGCATCACTGTTAAGCAAGGGCTAAGCATCAGAGTGAAACAGAAGACAAGTTAATTTTCCATGGCAGAGAATGTTCTTGACATCATCTATAAGAGGAATTATAACTTTTAAAAACAGAGAGGAGATGTCAAGAGATTCAATGGAAAGAATGTCTCTCCATTGTATAGAAGTTGCAATTCCTTTCAGTTATGTCCAAATGAAGACTGATTTCATTTCCTCTTTTGTTACTTCTGATTACACTACAAAAGTCCATTTATAGAACTACTATCAAAAGCTCAACACAGCTGCCTATTTATAAGAAAAACCATGATATAGTTAACTTTGGTTCTAAAATAACTCTATTGAAAAAGACTAATCATTTGTACATTTGGGAAATATTTATGTTAATTAGTTTTCTGTGGTCAAATGTTCTTATATTGCAATATTTTCACATGTAGCTCTTATACTTGGCTGGCATTTGAGCATAGAAGGTTGTCATAGTTTGGTGTGGCTGGTGCACCGTATGTGGCAGCTTATATTCTTCAAGCAAGTGAACACCAAGAACATGGCAGAGACCTGCTTGGGTATCTGTGAGGTGAAGCTGGTTAACAAATCAGACAAGCTCATTGACACACACATTGTGTTTTATGTTGTTTTTTTGTTTTTGAGACAGGGTCTCACTCTGTCACCTGGGCTGGAGTGCGGCAATGTACATAGCTCACTGCATCCTCAAACTCCTGGGCTCAAGTGATCCTCCTGCCTCGGCCTTCTGAGTAGCTAGGACTAGAGGCGTGTGCCACCAAGCCCAGCTAATTTTTTGGTTTTTAGATTTTTGCAGAGATGGGATCTTGCTTATGTCACCCAGCCTGTCTTGAACTCCTGGCCTCAAACAATCCATCTGCCTTGGCCTCTCGAAATCTCTGATTACAGGGATGATCCACGATGCTTGGCCCCTTAAGGGCTTTGGTAATCAAAGAGGGGTCGAAAATATTCATTCAAAGTGAGCTTCAAGTTCACACTTAGTGGTATAGCCCTAAAACAGGACTGAATTAATGGTTGAAAAGCAGGGGGTATTTTGGACAAGAAGGAATTCAGGAAAGAAGGTGAAAAATGATAGTATGATGAGTGATGGTCTTTAGAGGCTTGTTATGTCCCTTGGCAGCTAATCCGATCAGGGAATGTTGCAGACTGGAACATCAAAATAACTAGACTATATCAAGACAGCTTAGAGAGAGTCATCCATGCCACAGATTTGGATTTTAACAAAAAGGTAGGCTTCCTGCACAAGTACCCTTTTTGCCTTTTAAACCAGAACTTCTAGACTCATGAAAACATTGATGAATGAATCTTCTTGTAAATTTTGCTGTTCACATATTTATATATCAAGGTCACCACAACACCAAGGATATTAATCCTAGACCATAATCAAACCAACCCTAATTACAGACAGCCTGTTACTCAGACAACAGAAGTGAATTTCTCCTTTTTACTGCTTCAAGCCTTTGCTTTCCTACCCAGGGGAGTAGTGGGATTTCAGAGGCTTTAGATAAGTTTAGATGCTATTTTAATAAATATCTTCAAAATAACAAGTAAATGGATATGGAAAAATCTGTTAAAAGCCGGATAAAGCAATATTTATATCCTTATGCTATAGGAAAAAAACCTAAAAGATAAACACTGGGCTGAAAAAGCAATTCAATATGTCTTTCATTCACAAATTCTAACTATTCCAAAGCTATTTTAGATATCTCTCTAAAATTCCAAGATGTTTAGAAAAAGATAAATGTTCATTTGTAAAGAAATCCTTAATTTCCTCTAACTGTAAATTTTAAGAATTGTGCCCACTTCCATTCTTGGTTCAGTTTTCACATGACCTAAAAAATCTAGTGTTTCAGTATACAATTCTATACTATTAAAATAAAAATATAAATTCTAGCCGGTTGTAGTGATATGCACCTGCGCCTCCTCCTAGCTATTTGGGAGACTGAGGCAAGGATATCACCTGAGCTCTGAAGTTCGACACCAGCCTGGGCAACACAGGAAAACTCTATCTCCTAAAAAATAAATTCTAACAACAAATGGTATTACGGTACTCACATTTTTCTTGGAAATTTATTTTAAAAATCTCAAAAAAAAACCCCCCAAAAAACTCTACTTACCAATTTCTACACCAAAAGATTTTCTAAAGATCTCTCTCTCTCTCTCACTATATACATATATATTTTGGAGAGAGGGTCTCACTGTGTTGTCCAGGCCAAAGTACAGTGGCATCATCATAGCTCACTGCAACCTCAATCTCCTAGCTCAAGCAATCCTCCTGCCTCCACCTTCCAAGTAGCTGGGATTACAGGTGTGTTTCACAATGCCCGGATAATTCCTCTTCTTCTTCTTTTTTTTTTTTTTTGTAGAGATAGGGTCTTGCTCTTGCTCAGGCTGGTCCCAAACTCCTGGGCTCTAGTGATTTTCCCACCTCAGCCTCCCAAAGTGCTAGGATTACAAGCGTGAGCCATCACGCTGGCCGCTCTAAGATTTATCTTAAGAGCCTTGATTAATATGTTTTCAAAACCAGCAGCTGAGATCTGGTTAATTAGAAACTGTCTATCGGCTGAGTTTTGTAGCTACACCTCTCATCCCTAGAGGTGTGCACCACTGTGCCTGGCTTAGATTTCTTTCTTTTTTTTTTTTTTTGGAGACAGAGTCTCGCTCTGTTGCCCGGGCTAGAGTGCCGTGGCGTCAGCCTAGCTCACAGCAATCTCAAACTCCTGGGCTCAAGTGATCCTTCTGCCTCAGCCTCCCAAGTAGCTGGGACTACAGGCATGCATCACCATGCCTGGCTAATCTTTTCTACATATATTTTTAGTTGTCCAGCTAATTTCTTTCTATTTATTAGTGGAGACGGGGTCTCGCTCTTGCTCAGGCGGTCTCAAACTCCTGAGCTCAAACGATCCACCTACCTCAGCCTCCCAGATTGCTAGGATTATAGGCATGAGCCACCGTGCCCAGCCTTAGATTTCTTTTAAAGGTGGTACAATCATTCCCATTCATCTCTCAACTCTGTACAGTTTACTCCCATGAGTAAGGACCACTGCTGGATGATTAGTGTGACAGTACTATGGTTTGCAGTAACTGCGTTATGCTCGGCACTTCTGTGCATTAAAGAGGGCTTATGGGCACAAAAAGACCAACCATCACCCAGTTCTTCCTTACACAGGGCACTCTGTAGAAACCAAGTATATCTCTCACCCAAATCCATTTTTAGTACTTAGGAAAGGCTCAGAAAATGATCCATCAGTATGATTGAATTTCCTGGAGCCTCATAATGCAATCGGAGTTCCTTTTGTTCCATCTAAAGCAGCAAAGAGAGAAGAGAACACAAGCACAGACCTTTGTCCTCTCCTAGAGGTCTCATAATTTAGTGCCCTCCTTTAATTAAACAAAAACGAACACAAGTACTCTGGAGATGACTCGTGTGGGATCAATAACTGAGAAGTAAATAAGCTCTAATACTACTTGCATAAAATAAAAATTATGGCTCTTAACATTTAGAAAGCTTTGGGACTTACACACTTCCACTAGATAGTATTTTATCTTAAACTCCCATGTTCGCTGCAGCATTATTCACCAAGACATGGGACCAACCTAGGTGTCCATCAACAGATGAATGGATAAAAGAAATGTAATACATATATACAATGGAATATTATTTAACCTTAAAAAGAATAAGAAGGAAATCTTGCTATTTCCGACAATATGGATGAACCTGGAGGACATTATGCTGAGTGAAATATGGCAAACACAGAAAGACAAATACTGTATGATCTCACTTGTATGTGTAAACTCATAAAAGCAGGGAATTGAAGGGTGGTTGCTAGGGGCTGGAAGAAATCGGGAGATGTTGGTCTAAGGGTACAAAGGTTCAGTTATACAAGATGGAAAAGTTCTGGAGATCTAATGTACAGCATGGTGGCCATAGTTAATAATATTGAGCTGGGTATAGTGGCTCATGCTTGTAATCCCAGCACTTTGAGAGGCCAAGGCCAGAGGATCACTTAAGGCCAGGAGTTTGAGACCAACCTGGGCAACATAGCCAGATCTTGTGTCTATAGAAAAGCAAAGAAATTAGCTGGATGTGGTGGCATGTACCAATAGTCCCAGCTACTCTGAAGGCTGAGGCAGGAAGATCCCTTGAGCCTAGGAGTTCAAGGTTACAGTGAGCTGTCATTGGGCTACTGCACTCCAGCGTGGGTGACAAAGTGAGACCCTGTCTCTAAAAAAAATGATGATGATAATAATAATATTGTATTGTATACTTGAAATTTGCTGGGAGTTGATTTTTTTTTTTTTTTTTGAGACAAAGTCTCACTGTGTTGCCCGGGCTAGAGTACTGTGGCGTCATTCTAGCCCACAGCAACCTCAAACTCCTGGGCTCAAGCAATCCTTCTGCCTCAGCCTCCCAAGTAGCCGGGACTACAGGCATGCGCCACCATGCCCGGCTAATTTTTTTCTATATATTTTTAGTTGTCCAATTAATTTCTTTCTATTTTTACTAGAGACAAGGTCTTGCTCTTGCTCAGGCTGGTCTTGAATTCCTGACCTTGAGCGATCCACCTGCCTCGGCCTCCCAGAGTGCTAGGATTACAGGCGTGAGCCACCATGCCCGGCCGCCTCTCAATCTTTCTTGTCAGATGACTTACTCTCGGGGTTTGTTCTCATTTTCCCTCTCCTGTTTCTAGGCCTATGACCTCTCCTCTCTCAAATAATAAGCCACTACTCAGGCGATCCTCCCACCTCAGCCTCCTGAGTAGCTGGGACTACAGGCACGTACCACCACACCCAGATAATTTCTTTCTATTTTTACTAGAGACAAGGTCTTGCTCTTGCTCAGGCTGGTCTTGAATTCCTGACCTTGAGCGATCCACCTGCCTCGGCCTCCCAGAGTGCTAGGATTACAGGCGTGAGCCACCATGCCCGGCCGCCTCTCAATCTTTCTTGTCAGATGACTTACTCTCGGGGTTTGTTCTCATTTTCCCTCTCCTGTTTCTAGGCCTATGACCTCTCCTCTCTCAAATAATAAGCCACTACTCAGACAAGAAAGTAAGAGAGAACCTCAACACAGAAGTATTAAATAATTAAAGAAACAAAAGCTGCCTTGCACAGTAAGACACAGCTATATCTTTCACTACTAACTCAGAAGTTGTCAACCTTGGTTGCATATTAGAATCACTGCAGGAGCTTTCAAATATTCTGATGCCCAGGCGTCATTCCAAACTTATTACCTAAGAAGCTCTGGGGATGGGATCAAACATTCATATTTTTTAAAGCTTCCCAGGCAATTGCAGTACATAGTGAAGCTGAGAATCACTACATTAACTCAAGTTGAACAGCTAGCTGCTCTTTAGTTTTTCACATACAGAACTAATTTCAAATCTTGTTTTCCACACAGAATTCCAGAGGACTTTTCAAGATTTCTAGGTTGTGATCTACTTTAAAATTAGGGAATTTCTTCCCTAGTAAAAGAAGGGCACAAGAGGTGTTCCATTTCATTGGTATAGGGAAGGGGGCAGCAGATGTCCTTTGCATACTCTCCATCTGCGATGAGCTGTTTCTGTTCCCTTTATAGACTGTAAAATCAAAGGAGGAGTTTAGGGGTTCCTATTAAGCAGGACTGACATTAGTCAGGGCCATTTGATTTCTACAGGTTAAATGTCAAGGTATCCTAGTTCCCCAAAGTTCCTTCTCCTACCTCCAGCAGGTCTATCATCCTGGTCATCTGGGAGTAGATAAGAACCCTATGCCCTTGAGACTTGAGCCGAGTCAGCAGGACATCAAGGGCATACAGCTTTCCACTGTCAGTGATGAGGCTCTCCTTGCCTGGGGAGAAGAAAAGGGGGAGGCGGAATGGATTTAATTGAAGCAACAAAATCACTCACTGCAAAGCTGTATGCAACCAAAATTACTACAACCAAAATGCTTGTCATCACGAGAGTAGGAAAGTGCTCGAGAGGAAGAATGCAAAACCTTGAAAAAATCATGACTCCAGAAGCAATCTAGGAAGAAGTATCACGAAAAGAGGGAGGTGTAGATTCCCTCCCAACTGACAGCTCTCAATCAGACATCTGCCGCTAAGGCATTTTAAAACTCCCCTGCTCCATATCCTTACTCAAGGGACACCAGGTATACATGGACATCTATGGGTCATGTCTATGTCCTATCTGCTGTGACTTGAAAAATCTGTTTTTACTTTGTTCATCCTATCTCTAGACATCCGTTTCTGTTCGTTCTTTTTTCATTGCATATTTCACTGCAAAATCTGCTCTTTCTGTGATCAAGTGTTTATACCCTGAAAGCATGAGAATTTATGGAAACAAGAATTGCTCCTGCCTGCCCTTAGAGACACTTAAACACCAAGAAATGCAAATAAATATACCCACCCTTGACTCCCTCTCTCCCTACACTTTAGGTTGGCTGGTAAATGTTATTTACTCAAGTTGTAATTCAATGAAGATACCAGGGCTTATTCTGCTTTTCAGAAAGACCGACTTTGAGTTTCTCTGCAACAAAGGTGCTTTCACTCACTAACTTGTGCTTTCTCCTTCCTCTTCCCATAAGAAAAGCATTTCAGCCACAGATCTTTAAAGAACACTCAACTCACAAATTTTCTTATCCATTCAGTATCATTAAACTTCCATCATATTTCAGGAAGGAGAGTTTCCTGTTTGCACACTGGTCCATAAACATGCCCTGAACAATTGCTGCCATTAAGAGAAGAGATGAGGCACTTAAGGGGTTGGGTAAGAGTATACGTGGAACTGGGCACAGGACACACAAAGGGAGAGAGAAAGGATAGAGATATTACACAGACAACTAACAATTAAAAGAGAAAACCGTTAAGAAAAACACACTGTCCACCCTTAGTTTCTGGGTTTGAACCCACAGCTTTTTCTCAGAACTGCAAAGGCTGACTGTTGCGAGCAATGCAAGAGTTCTTAACAGTCATTTCTCTGTTCTCACCACAATTTGCCAAGTGCACAATTATTGTATAAACTGAACAAGAACGGATGTGCTGACAGTATTATAACAAATCAACAGCCACTCTGTTTTTGCTACAAAGCCACAGGTCCTAGCTGTTTACTCCCTGGCACTGCAGCCTGCCTTCTCCCACCTTCGGAACACAGCCAGACCATATCTCTCCCCCCACCACCCCCTCCTGTACACTGTTGTACACACCTTTGTTCAGTCTCTTTGTTTGGTCCTGTTTAGATTATTGAAATGCTCTTCTTTTTGTTGGTCTCCTTAACAACACAATCAAATGACTGCAGCTGGGACAGGATTGACTGCTAAGCTCTCTCCCTGGCACCAGACAAGGAGGCCTGTACAAATTTCAAGTCTGAGCAGGCAGCAAAGCTTTCATAACAACTTTAAAGTTTTCTTCTTATCACAATTACCCTTGTCCATTAATTAGACTCCCTGGGGTCTCTCAATTTTGATAGCTCCTTAACATTCCCCACAGAGCTACCAATCAGCTTTAACTATGTTTCTTTCCATTTTAATTATAAAAGCACAGAAAGGTTTAAAAAAAAAAAAAAAAAAGCCTGTATGTTTTTTAGCCAT